CCCTGTCCCCAGCCTGCCGTACCCGCAGTATTTCGGGGGGGTCTCGGCGCTCACCCCCGATCAGTACATGAAGATCAACGGATTCCCCAACGAGTACTGGGGCTGGGGGGGCGAGGACGATGACATCGCCACCAGGTGGGGACACCGGGGACACCGGGGGGACACGGGGGGTGTGACAGTGCCACGGGGGGTGTGACAGTGCCACGGGGGGTGTGACAGTGCCACGGGGGGTGTGACAGTGCCACGGGGGGTGTGACAGTGCCACGGGGGGTGTGACAGTGCCACGGGGGGTGTGACAGTGCCACGGGGGGTGTGACAGTGCCACGGGGGGTGTGACAGTGCCACGGGGGGTGTGACAGTGCCACGGGGGGTGTGACAGTGCCACGGGGGGTGTGACAGTGCCACGGGGGGTGTGACAGTGCCACGGGGGGTGTGACAGTGCCACGGGGGGTGTGACAGTGCCACGGGGGGTGTGACAGTGCCACGGGGGGTGTGACAGTGCCACGGGGGGTGTGACAGTGCCACGGGGGGTGTGACAGTGCCACGGGGGGTGTGACAGTGCCACGGGGGGTGTGACAGTGCCACGGGGGGTGTGACAGTGCCACGGGGGGTGTGACAGTGCCACGGGGGGTGTGACAGTGCCACGGGGGGTGTGACAGTGCCACGGGGGGTGTGACAGTGCCACGGGGGGTGTGACAGTGCCACGGGGGGTGTGACAGTGCCACGGGGGGTGTGACAGTGCCACGGGGGGTGTGACAGTGCCACGGGGGGTGTGACAGTGCCACGGGGGGTGTGACAGTGCCACGGGGGGTGTGACAGTGCCACGGGGGGTGTGACAGTGCCACGGGGGGTGTGACAGTGCCACGGGGGGTGTGACAGTGCCACGGGGGGTGTGACAGTGCCACGGGGGGTGTGACAGTGCCACGGGGGGTGTGACAGTGCCACGGGGGGTGTGACAGTGCCACGGGGGGTGTGACAGTGCCACGGGGGGTGTGACAGTGCCACGGGGGGTGTGACAGTGCCACGGGGGGTGTGACAGTGCCACGGGGGGTGTGACAGTGCCACGGGGGGTGTGACAGTGCCACGGGGGGTGTGACAGTGCCACGGGGGGTGTGACAGTGCCACGGGGGGTGTGACAGTGCCACGGGGGGTGTGACAGTGCCACGGGGGGTGTGACAGTGCCACGGGGGGTGTGACAGTGCCACGGGGGGTGTGACAGTGCCACGGGGGGTGTGACAGTGCCACGGGGGGTGTGACAGTGCCACGGGGGGTGTGACAGTGCCACGGGGGGTGTGACAGTGCCACGGGGGGTGTGACAGTGCCACGGGGGGTGTGACAGTGCCACGGGGGGTGTGACAGTGCCACGGGGGGTGTGACAGTGCCACGGGGGGTGTGACAGTGCCACGGGGGGTGTGACAGTGCCACGGGGGGTGTGACAGTGCCACGGGGGGTGTGACAGTGCCACGGGGGGTGTGACAGTTCCCTGGGGGGTGTGACACAGGAGGGTGTGACAGTGCCATGGGGGTGTGACACAGGGGGGTGTGACAGTGCCATGGGGACACCGGGGGGTGTGACAGTGCCATGGGGGGGTGAGGGCGATGTCATCGTCACCAGGTGGGGACAGCGGGGACACACAGGGGACACGAGAGGTGTGACAGTGCCATGGGGACACTGGGGGTCACTGGGGACACTGAGGTGACACTGGGATGTCACTGGGGGACACTGAGGTGTCACTGGGATGTCACTGGGGTGTCAGTGGTGACCCAGCGCCGCTGTCCCGTGTCCCCCCATGTGTCCCCGCTGTCTGTCCCGTGTCCCCCCCGTGTCCCCGCTGTCCCATGTCCCTGCTGTCCCGTGTCCCCCCCGTGTCCCCCCGTGTCCCCCCAGGGTGCGCCTGGCGGGGATGAAGATCTCCCGGCCGCCCGTCTCCATCGGCCACTACAAAATGGTCAAACACAAGAGCGACAAAGGCAACGAGGAGAACCCGCACAGGTACCGGGGACATCACTGGGGACATCACTGGGGACAGCGGGGACATCATTGGTGACATTGGTGTCATCGGTGACACCGGTGACATTGGGGACATCATTGGTGACACAGGTGACATTGGTGACACAGCTGACCCTGGTGACACAGGTGACACGGGTGACACTGGTGACACAGGTGACACACAGGTGACACACAGGTGACACACAGGTGACACACAGGTGACAGGTGACGCAGGTGACACAGGTGACACACAGGTGACACAGGTGACACACAGGTGACACACAGGTGACAGATAACACAGGTAACACAGGTGACACACAGGTGACAGAGGTGACACACAGGTGACAGGTGACACAGATGACACAGGTGACTCAGGTAACACACAGGTAACACACAGGTGACAGAGGTGACACACAGGTGACACACAGGTGACACAGGTGACACACAGGTGACACAGGTGACAGGTGACACAGGTGACAGGTGACACAGGTGACACAGGTGACACAGGTGACAGATGACACAGGTGACAGAGGTGACAGAGGTGACAGAGGTGACACAGGTGACACAGGTGACACAGGTGACACAGGTGACACACAGGTGACACAGGTGACACAGGTGACACAGGTAACACACAGGTGACAGGTGACACAGATGACACAGGTGACACAGGTGACAGATGACACAGGTGACACAGATGACACAGGTGACACACAGGTGACACAGGTGACACAGGTGTGCCACCACCGGCAGGTTTGAGCTGCTGGTGCGGACGCAGCGCTCGTGGACGCAGGACGGGATGAACTCTCTCAGTTACGCGCTGCTGGCCAAGGAGCTGCGGCCGCTCTACACCAACCTGACCGTGGACATCGGCACCGACCCCCGGGGGGGTCCCCGCGCCCCCCGCGGCTCCTCCTCATCCTCCTCATCCTCCTCTTCCTCCCGCTTCCGCCAGGAGATGCTGCGCAAACCCCCCCGCGGGGACCTGGCGCTGGCACCGGCGCTGGCACCGTCACCGTCACCGGCGCCGTCACCGCGCGCCAACGGCAGCGCCTCGGGGGGCAACCAGAGCGTGGCACGGGGACCCCCCTGAGACCCCCCCCCGACCCGGGTTTGGACTCTGGGGGGGCTGGGGGGGCTCACCTGAACCCCCAAACTGCCTTTGGATTCTGGGGGGGCTCACCTGAACCCCCAAACCTGGGTTTGGACTCTGGGGGGGCTCACCTGAACCCCCAAACTGCCTTTGGATTCTGGGGGGGCTCACCTGAACCCCCAAACCCCCCGACCTGGGTTTGGACTCTGGGGGGGCTCACCTGAACCCCCCCCGATCCCCCAAACC